TTCTCTTCCCCTTACTCTCCCTGTTAACAGATTTTTATTGATGTCTACTTTAAGTAATTACCTATTTTTCTATACCTAGCTATCTCTGCTGCCTTTCATCAATTGAGTCCAAGCAACTCCTCTCCCACCAAATCCCTGAGATAGCTTCCAGGCTCGTAGTCTTAATCTTCTTTGGCTTGACAACAAAGCTAGAAAGATCAAATAGCTAGAAGGTTTCAAATAATTCAACCATGTACTTGGTCGAGGACAACCACGTTAATGATTCCCTGTGTCCTCGGGTTAAAGAACAAAATCCCTCATTGAGGTTATCACGTCCCATCTGGTCTACCCCTGCTGCTTTCTCTGGGATCTTTCTCACCCTCATTTCACCACATTCCTTTCACTTCTTGAACGCACCGTGTTCCTCATCCCATCACACATCTCCCAGGCCTCATGCTCCCTTTGCCCAGTTGTCTCTTCTTCTTGCTTCAAGCTCACCCTAATGATCATTCAAAACCCATAAGACTTCCTGGATCTACCCTATTGTGTTTCTTTCCTTCTCTGCACTTTCAAAGTATCGTGCACCCCTACTGGTCAAATCCTTGGCAGGGTTGAACATTTATTTATTAATCTTAGTTTACCAACTGTGTCCTTCTAGTGCCACAGCCACCAACACACACACACACACACACACACACCACTTACATTTTAATTATAGGCTTCTTGAGGGCAGGGACTATGTCTGCAGATGCCTGGCCTGTAATTAGTGCTCAGTGATTACTTCAGGGAATGATGTGTGCATCTTTTTAGGCCAAGTTAATAACAGTGTTTCAGGGTAAAAAGAGGCTTCCTAGGTGCTCCTTCCAATGCCTGGGATAATATCTGCTAGCAGGCATTTGATAAAGTTTAGCTTCATCATTGAATGAAAGCACCAGAGCTGATGCTTCCTCTCCAAACCCAAATAAAAAGACTCAGCTACGAGGAGGAAGTGGTGATCGGGATGGCTCAGCTTCCTTCCTGTCTGCTTGGAATGTGATGAACCAGTCATACGCTGGGAATGGGAATGGGAGGCTATGCTGAAATCAGCTACAGCCCTCTGGAATGTCAGCCCATCACTGCAAAAGGGTTGGCTAACTATTTCCCCTGGGAAATGTGAGCTTACGATAAGTCAGAACCAACTTAATGGCAAGCTCAGTTTTGGTTTATAGGTAGCTTGGCAGAGTTGTTAGATGTAGTGAAGTTTTTTTTGCCTTTCAGCCATTCCTTGAGAGGAACTGCATGAAACCTCTCCTCCCTAGTCCTTCTAGGGGAAACCATGTGCCCAGCATAGTCTACAGCCCAGCACGTGGCAAATCTGAGAGTACTGGAACAAGTGAACGATTCAAACATTCTAGTTCCCTCACCTTTATGTTCCAGTCGTTTCTGGATAATCTTCAGTAGAAACTTATTTGCATGTGATATCAATGATATTGTTCAATAATTTCCACACTCTGTCAGGTTATCTTTTTTTAAATGGGAACAAATAATCTCTTGCAGTCAGTTGGCCAGGTGGTTGTCCTCCAGATCTTGGCACAACTTGGTGAGCACATCCAGGGCAACATCTCTTTGTTAAAATAGGTCAGTTGGTATGCCATCAATTCCTGGGGCCTTGTTTTTTACCAATTCTTCTAGAAAAGCTTGAACATCTTCCTTCATCACCACAGGTTCTTGCTCATACATTGTTTCATGAAATTCTTCTGTGTCTGCCAATTACTTTTGGTACAATACTCTGTATACCCTTTCCATCTTCTTTTAATGCTTCCTGGATCATATAACAGTACGCCCAAAGCATCCTTAAGTATTGCAACTCGAGGCTTGAATTTGTTCTTCAGTTCCTTTAGCTTAGGAAATTCTGAGTGAGTTTGGCCCCTTTGATTTTCTGACTCCAGCTCCTTACACATGAAGCCAGGCTGCTTCTTGGAGGCAAGGATTCTGAGGCTTTGTCTGACATACTTTGGACATGTTGCAAGGCTGGATCAGTCCTTGGAGAGGGACGTCATGGTTTGGGAGGGTGGAGCGACAGTGCAGAAGAGGAAGACCTTGATGAGATGGAGTGATTCTGTGACTGCGGGGGGGATGGGGGTAGCTGTATCAGAGACAATAAGCTTGCCACAGGATAGAGGAGGGTTTAGGGTTGTTGTACATAGGGTCGCTATGACTCGCAGGTGGCTCGATGGTATATAACAACAACAGCAACACTACCTTTGTGTTATTAATGAACCATCTGTTATAAAACAATTATAAGGAGGCAGATTTTGCTGGATCTTTTTGGAAATACAGAGACATATAGAGTCCGTGCTCTTGAAGACTTGCCGTTCTCACTATAGAGACTTGGTTAAGTCCACTCAACTTGGCTAAACGGCAATGAACTTGGTAAAAATAATCTAACAGATGAAATTCTCCTCACTATAAGCATACCTCATATATTACACTAAGAAGATCTTGCCGTTTTTTTAACAGATTAAAAATTTATGACAATTCTGTATCAAGCACATCCACTGCGCCATTTTCCCAGTGGCATGTGCCCTCTTCGTATCTCTCTGTCCCATTCCGGCAATCCTTGCAATCATTCAAACATTTTTTTGTAATGCCAAGTGCACACTGAATAGACTAAACAAAACTGAATAAACAAAACTTTGATATGCACTGGGAAACAGAAAATGTCATGTGACTCACTTTATTACGGTATTAATTTTACTGTATTACTATGGAACTAAACCAACAGCATCTCTGAGGTGTACCTCGATTAAAGCAAGAAAGAGACATTGACTGACGTGGCTCAGAGGGTTGGCTCAGATGTTCTAAGCATCTGGGAGTTTAGAGACTCATAATCATATCTTACGGGTATTAGCATCCCTTCAACTCGGGAATCAATTGAGTTTAGGGAGTACATGGCTGAAAGGAGAGAACTTAATTCAATGAGAACAAATGTGTGTGGGCAGAATCATCAACCCTTCGGCAAAACCCTGTACAACCACAAGCCTTTAGGGAGCACTATTACACGTCAGCCGTGGTTCTAACGTGGGGACACAGAGATCAACGAGGCCTCACCCTGGCCCTGAGCAGCTTGCAGGAGGCTGGAGGAGACAGTGTGCAAAGAAATAACCAATAATATGGGGATATTTGTGGCAGGAGGCATCGTGAGACATGTGCAGAGGGATAATCGGGAGCAAAACGCTTTCAGAGACCCCAGCAGGCAGTGAAGGAGTGTTGATGATGAAGGAGGCTGATGCTGATGTGGTAGAAAGACATTTCTACTGGGACGGATCAGGAAGAGGACGCTGTAGGTTTTAAGCTATCACACACGAACCTGGTGCCATTGGGATGGTGGAAACCAGCTGGTGGATGGTCACTTACAGTGTCTTCACCCTGCACCTCTTTCCAGCATGGCTCACTTGGGTCTGTGAGATGACAAGTTGCCTCTGTTCCCTGGTGCACACACGGAGAGGGGCTTTGGTTATTTATACTTGCAGTGTCATTAGCCATACTTGTTTTGGGGAATGATTGAGTAACTGTTGTTGTTATGTGCTGTCAAGTCACTTGCGACTCATAGCGACCCTATGTACAAAGCCCTAAACCCTGCTCTATCCTGTGCCAACCTTGTCTCTGATACACCTGCCCCTCTTACCCCATTCACTGAGTCAATCCATCTCATTGAGGGGATTCCTCTCTTGTCCTGTCCCTCCACCCCCTCAAGCATGATGTCCCTCTCCAAGGACCAGTTCCTTCTTGCAACATGCCCAAAGTATGTCAGATAAAGCTTCAGAATCTTTGCCTCCAAGGAGCAGCCTGGTTTCACCCTCTCCAGGATGAACCTGTTTATTCTCCTGGAGCTCCAGGGTATATTCAATACACTAGAAACCAAATAAATCCATTGCTGTTGAGTCAGTTCTGACTCACGGAAACCCCATGTGTTACAATAGAACTGGCGTCCATAGGATTATATTGACTGCGATCTTTATAGAAGCAGGTTGTCAGGCTTCTCTTCCAGCATCTCTGGGTTCAGACTCCCAAGGGTTGGTTAGGTGAACATTTGAGCACACATCATCTGACTCTCCCAGAGACATCATGAGTGAATTCTGGGGCTTACAAAGAGAATTAAAAGGTTTTGACCATTGAAACCTGAACTGGGAGTCAGAAGATGTGGGGAATTCTGGTCCTGCCCTTTATCAGCCAGATGATAAAATGGGAAAATAAAAACCTGCTTTTCAAGATGATGGGGCATAACCAAGCGAGATCCATGAAGTCACCCTACACACAACTGAGGTACACAGGTGCCCAAGAAGTCTCTCTTTCCTCTGCCTGGATTTGAGTCAGTGGGCTAGCACCTCCTAAAAACAAATGGCCCCACCCCACTCTGTGTTGGAATTTAAGATAATAAATTCCCAAAGAGGGTTTAAAATAACTAGATGTTTTCTGAACCTGAGGTGACTGCATTTAATTCACAGAATTTCTACTCTAGCATTTATTTCATGTAAGGCGCGCACACGCACACACCACCACCCCAAACCAAAACCAAAAACTAAATGCTCCCCAGCTTTCTTTTTTGAATCTTTAAAAGTCCAGTAGTTTTAAATTGTAATCCTTTCACAAAAAGCTGTTCTTCTCATCATTTACCTGAAAGAATGAAGTAGGGTAAGGACTCAGTCCTGAGAAGTATCCGAGGAGCAAAGCAGGAGGGGGGACCAGATACATCATTTGATCTCCTTGGGGATCACCCAACACAACCACCTTGGCCAACTCATTTAATTCCTTTGTGCCTCATCTACCTCAATTGCAGCAACGGACACAGTGGTCATCTCAGCCCCGCAGGGATTACTCCAAGAGGATTAAACTAGGATGACTCATATAATGCCCATAACACTATGCCTGGCACATAGTAAGTGCTCAGTTAATGGAAGCCAGGGCCCTGATGGGTATTGCTGAAGCAGGCGTGTGAGCTTTTCCAATATTTTCTTTGTCTTTCTGTTTTTTCATTCAAGGCGCCTCCACCCAGAACTCTAACACTGTGGAGCCAGAGAAGCAGGTGGACAACACCGTGAAGATGGCTGGGGTGATCGCCGGCCTCCTCATGTTCATCATCATCCTCCTGGGTGTGATGCTCACCATCAAAAGGAGGTGAGTCTCCGCTGCTGCCCTGCAGATTCTGCCGATCCCTCGGGACCCTCCATTGCCGTGAGGCCAGCTCGTTGTTCTGTTGAACACTGTCCAGCAAGGACCTTCTAATATGACTGTTATGGTCCTGAATACTCTGGCCAACTGCGGTTCTGTGGGTGTGAACTGCCAGGTGCGTGCTGCTGCTGGATGATGACCCTGAGATGGCCGTTTTCTTATGGGACCGGTGATCCCTGTGACTGGACCCCCCTTATGGACCACGCAATTCTGTGGATCATGAAATTTGACTTTGTGGATTTAATTGCTGTGTTGTGACTGGGCATACCATCGAGAATGTCCCACTTTGATGGAAACTCCTCTGGGTTCAGTGAGACAGATGCAGGGAAGTGATACATCTGTTTTTTTCTTTTTTTCCTTTTTCACCTCCATTCACCCCTGATTTCCCATTCCATGACAAAGCCAGCAGAATCCTAAGCTGCCCTCTGCTGGCTGGTGTGGAAGTCCTCAGGGAAAGCTCCTTCCTCTTCGTGTCCCGCACACCCTTCCCAGATGGGTGGCTGCGGCTCATCGGTTCCCAGCAGAACGCTTCCCTGGGCAGCTGTGACCAACTAACACAGTTTTCTCATACTGTTTGTTTCCTCCAGACTGTGTTGCCCAAGAAAGCAAGAGTGCAGATTTCTCCCTTATCCCCAAGATTCCCTCATCTGGTGGATCTGTATAGCAGACGTTCACACAGCTTGCAGAAAACAAAATGACAGAGAGGGAGAGGAAATAATAGCATATCAGCTGTCACTGGCCCCAAAGTGTGTTGGTTATACCTCTAAATAACAAATCCTACTGGTCACCCCTCCTTAACACCTGGACCGCCACCATGTTACTCTGCTGACAGTCCACTTTCTACCAGGCTAGAGTCACTTTTCTCAGTCTTCTCAATGTCAATGTCAAGGCCCCAAACTTGGGCACTCCCTCGCTTTGCCAAAGCAAACAAATCTTTCATCCACATTATAATAATACATCTTGCCATGCACTCTGCCTTTCATGAAAAGAGCATTTTCCATTTTTTAAATGAATTACTTAACACTTTAACCTGAGGTGTCTGAAATTGGTTACTCAACAGCGCCTTGAGCAGAGGTGAAAAGTGCCACTGAAAATTGTTTCCCACGAGAACAAAGAGAATGAATGACCAAATGAGAAAACGTGGCCTCCACGTTAACTACAGGGAAAAGAATGCAGAGGGTTAAAATGAACAAAGCACATCAGCATGCCCGTTTCCAGTCTTCTGTGCAGCAGAGATATGGGGCTTCACATTATACATACATACACACAACATACACATACATACATGCCTTCTCTTAGCCACCGAGGCCCCGAGATGTGCCGTAGTCTGTCACAGGTCTTTTGTGAATTGACTAGTCCTCCCTCTGACCAGGGTATCTTATTATTGGGCAATTACCCCCCCCCATTCTTTTTTTTTTCTTCCTTTCTCTAATAGGATCACTCTTTCCCTTAGGCTCCCAGAAAAAAAAATCTCTTAAAAGAGAATATTCATTCTCATCTCTCTGCTAATTTTCAAGTTGGAGAGTGCAGAAGGGGAAGAAGCATTGTTGTCTAGAACCCCTAAAAGACTAAGGACAGCACTGAATTGTTACATAATCATCCTTCATAAGACATGGTCAAGTGTACACCTCAGTGACTAATTATTCCCCGCGGGTAGAACAGGGACTAAGTATTCTCCATGGGCTAGAACAGGAGTTTTGATTTCTCTGGCACAGTAAACGCATTGCACATGTAAGATCACTGACATGCTTCTTAGAGTCACAGGAGCATTAGAGGCATAGGTAAGCTTGGGATTGTCTACATGGTGAAAGGAACCAATTTAATAGGACTGAATACCCCTTTGATAGACCTGAAATTTTCTCATTCTTCACCAGTGATTTGTAAGTCAGATATGTTCTTCCAATTTTGCTCTTTCTAAAGCCTGGCTTAGCCCACGTCACCACCATCCTCTGTGAGCTTGTGAAGAAATTTCACTTCCTTCTCAACAGCTATTTCTGAAACGTGTGACTTGTAGGGAGGGAGGAAAGGGCTTTCTGTCTCCAGGGTGGGAGCAAGTATAAAGTGAATCCTTTGTGTGGCTCCAACCTCCTCTTCTTCATATCTTTATCATCTCTCACCGCTCTCAAAACCATCAGATCCAACCAATGTGCATTTTCACTCTTTCTTCCAAAGAGGGAAAACTCATTGTAGAACTTGGGGAGTCAGGGAAGGGAGAGGTTGTTCATCAGTGATTATAAAGTGTATGTTTTAGAGAAAATGAGACCTTCTGTTGACTCAGTTGTTTGAAAATAATTTGCAGATGAATATGGTGAGAGGCGACGGGGAAGAAAGAAGTCAACATAGGCCTACACTCTTTCCATCAGCCTGGAATATACTGTGGTTTCTATGTTGTTGTTGCTGTTACTGTTAGGTGCTGTTGACTCAAGTACGACTCACAGTGAGTCTATGAACACCACACTGGAACGACGCATAACAATCCTATCAACAACAGATCTGAACCCTGTTCTATCCTGTACCATCCTCACAATTTCTCACACATTCAAGCCCATTGCTACAGTCAATCTGCCTGGTTTAGTGTCTTCCTTTCCTTTGCTGTCTGTCCTTCCACCTTTCCAAATATAATATTCCTCTCCAAGGAATAGTCTCTGCTAGCAACATGCCCAAAGTATGTGAGATGAATGAAGCTTTATCATATTTGACTTCAAGGAGCATTCTGGCACTATTTTCTCCAAAACATATCTGTCTTTTCTTTCTGCAGTCCAATGGGATATTCAGTACTCTTCACTAACACCACAGTTCAAAGGCATCCATTCTTCTGTCATCTTTAATCATTTTCTAGCTTTCAGATGCAGAGCAAGTAACCGAAAAGACTAGGGCCCAAATCAGGAGCACCTTAGTCCTCAAATTGACATTATTGCTCCTCAGTAATTTGGAGTGGTCCCTGACTGTAGACTTTCCCAGTGCAGTATGTCTACTGATCTCCTGATTGTTGGTACCAAGTGTACTGACTGTGGACCCAAGTAAGAGGAAGTCATTGACAGGACATCTATAAATATCTCCAAGGTATGGTGAAGGCCTTGGCGAGATCATTCTCGTCCTGTGATATTAGCTGTTGTTGTTAGGTGTCATCAAGTCATCTAAGGTGTCAAGTCATCTAAGACTCATAGCGACCCTATGAACAAAAGATCTGAACCTTATTCTATCCTGTGACATCATCACACTTCTGACACAAAAGAGCCCACTGCAGCAGTCACTGTTTCAGTCCGCCTGACCATTCATACATAAATATAGAGGACACTTCTTTGCTTGGGTCTGTCCATTGTTCCTAACTTAATGCTGACCAGAGTCCTGTCCACAGTTACCTAAAAAGAAGTGGCAGTACAAAAAAGAAACCTCCCAAAGTTATGTAAATAATCACAGCTCCAGGTCCTAGTAAGAAAAGCTCTTGTATGTTATAGTAAGCCCTACAGTTGCAGAGTTAACAACTCATCAGAGCTTGCTTGGACCCCTAGCCAGCTTCTTCCACCGGTTTAACCCTGACTAGCTCTCCTTGACCTCCAGGGCATGGATGTGGTAACTCCCTGTTTTCTCTGATGCTGATGGATTTAACTGGCTCAATGTCTTCTCTAAAGCTACATTTACAATTATTCCTCGCACACATAACATGTCTCTAGTACAAAAATAAATGACCTTACCTTCTCACCATCTTTGGCCTTTGAGCTTTCTCTTATTTCCCCAGAGACAGTCCTACCCACCCCACTCCCACCCCCTTACGTTTTTTTTTCCCTTTTGTGATGCATAACCAGAAAGCAGGCAGAAAACAGAATAGAGATGCAGAGGACAAAGGGACGGGGCTTAATTAAAAGAAGCAAAATCAATTTATATTCAGAAAATGGGGAAGAGGAGGGAAGGGGGGGAATCAGCAAGGCCTGAGGGAGTTTGTTGTTGTTGTTATTGTTATTTGATTTTGTTTTGTAATTGGAGGATCTTGAACAAGGAAAGTCTACAAAAGGATGCAGAGATGTTGGAGGTAATTCAAATGAGACTCTCATTGTTTATGAAAGATGCAAATTGCTGCTTAGAATTGTATTTGTACTACTCTCAGCTGTTTGGACTGGGCTTCTTTGAATGTAGGACCAGATCATATAGAACCATAGACACACGGAGGTATATGGGATGACAATAAGAAGAAAGCATAAAGCCTTGTAATGAGGGAATTAATAGCTAATATTATTTTAGCCCAAATATCTGTCTTTTTTCCTCTCATTTTTTTAAAATTTATTATTAATTTCAATGAAAATGTACAGAGACTTTGAGTTTCCATTCACTCATTGTTGTACTTTTCTCCCCTCCCAACACTCCTCCCCCTTAGTACACTACCCTCTTGGAAAAGTAAAAGAAAAATTCTTTCATTGTTTTATAAACCCTCCCCCAGGTCCCCTCCACTATGCAGCCTTTGCTCTGCCAAATATCTGTCTTGCCCCTACCATTTTATATCAGCTCTATCTTGTTCTCCTGGATCCATCAAGACCTCAGAATGTTTTACCATGGATTTCTCCATTCTATTACATAGTAAAACCTCTACCTCCTCTCAGAGAGCTCTGGCTGTTAATCTAAAGCTGACGCCTGTTGGGTGGTTCGAATGCACCAGTGACTCTGCCAAACAAAGACGGGCAATCCCCTCTCAGAGAATCCACAGCCTCCCGAACACCCACTGGACGGGCAGCTGTGACAGAGATACTTCCTTCATGAACCACTTTGGGTCTTGAGAATCCCATCAGTGACTTGGAGATAACTCCCATCCTGGCTATCTCCTCCCCTCCCCTCTTGCCATTAAAATGATCAGACATTCTCTCCCCAAAAAGAATGGAGACTCACAGGTCACCTGACAGCCCCATATATTACTTTGGTGTAATATTTGAGATTAATGCCTTACCCACTGGATC